CTACGTAAAGCTCAGAGCAATGTAAGCACTCAATAAAGTGACAGTTATCACCGTTAACAACATGACTGCTTACTGCAGTCGCGCACCGCACTAAGTGCACCAGGGCTCCCTCTACACTGCACTTGACAGATCAAAAACTCCAGGGCTGGGGCTCAGGAATCTGTTTATGTAATAAGAGCCCCAGAGGATACTGAGAACTAGTTGCATTTGGCAAACACTTCCCCTCAGCATACCACACCAATTCAGTCACGCCTAACTTACTTACCTAGTGCTCTGCAGATCTGTTTATCCGGATTCTCAACAGGTATAATCTGGTGCAATGCCACTCTAGGACCTCACGTGACTAACTCTTAGTGAACTTCAGTCAGTTTTCCCCACTAAACACTTCACCCTAGTGTTTCCAGAGTTCACAGACTGACCACCGCTTTCCTAAAGTGTTTCCAAAAGTGAAGTGCAGGTGTGAATGGTGATATGGAAGAGGGACTTAGAGGCTGGACGCAGACTTTTTTAACTCTTGCTGCCACTAATTTTTTTTTTTCCTTAGGTTTTTGTCATAGGGAAAGTACACTCACCACACAGACAGAGAGCAAGACAGTGAGAGGGAAAGTGAGAAATCACCCTGGTGGGGGATGGTAATACCATAACCCCCCGTCTCTTCCACTCTTCTCCTGGGCTTTTGGGCATGCACATACATGTGCCCAGTGTGATTTTCCAAGCCACCAGGTCTGGTACTGGAACCACAGTTGGCCATGTGGGAGTCCAGTACCTTAACCACCACACCACCTGCTTGCCCAAGGACATAAGACTTTATTTATTTATTAATTTAAATAATCACATATTCCTATGTGTGATTATTAAAATAATCACACAATGAAGGTGATAAGCCCTCTATTTAATTTATTATTTTTTCTTTTAGTAATTTGCCAGAAGGTGTGTGCACTCACTCATGAGGGAGAGCGAGAAAGTGAGAAAGCACCCCCAAGGGGAACAGATAGAGTCAATCCCTTCACCCCTTATTTCTCCTTTTGAAAAAAAATTTTTGAGGCCCAGTTTGGTTCCCAAACCAAACTAAAACACGTGGGCATGCACACGTGTGCCCAGCAAATTTTCCAAACCATTGAGTCTGGGACCATAGGGTTAGCTAGTGGGATCTAGCCACCTTAATCACCATGCCACTGGCTGACCTCCAAAACTTTTCATTTTAAAAGCTGTTTTCTATTTCAACACAAGAGCACGGTCTGTGGAACCATTCTACCAAAGATTTCTATCACAGTTCTGTCGTTGGCTAGTTTGTAATCTTAGACAAGTTTTTATTTTTTTCTTTTTAAGTCCATCTATTTTTATTCATGAGATTGTTCATGCATTAGCAAGACAGACAGACAGACATCCTTAACAGAGTCCTGCCACACCGTGATCCCCTTCCTGGCCCTCCACTACCCATCAGCTGCTCACACCTGGTCAGGAGTGTCTTTCAGGTTTACTCAGCCTCCAGGACTGCAGGCCAACACAGCTTCCCGTGCCTCCTATGCTGGTCCAGGGTCATTATTCAACTCCTATGTTTCCTCACTGTAAAATGGATTGGCCCAGCTGCAATAGTGTGGCACTAAAGTACTGCTGCACAGGTTGGACCACATGGTGAGGGCCAGTTTGGTTCCCAAACCAAACCAAAACAGGCTAAGCACTATAGTTGTAGCTAACCAGAACGCTGGGCAGGAGTTTCCCAACAAGACCAAACCTTGTCAAAAACATCTACTCATCTCTCTATCCCATTTTTTAAAAATGAATGGGGAGAGCAGATGGTGTGGAGGTTACACAGCTGGATCCCACATGGCTGACTGCATGATCTGAGTACTAGACTCAATGATTTGAAAAACACTGGGCACGTATTCGTGTGAACCCCCAATTCCAAAGAGAATGGAGAAGGAACTGTAGTGTGGCCATCCCCCTGGAGGGTGATTTCTCGTTTTCTCTTTCTCTCTCTCTCTAGCACACACCCTATGCCAAAAAACAAAGAAAAATAAATAAAAAAGAAAGGATGTACACTGCTTAACTCATAAGGTTATTGTGAGAATTAAGTAAGTCATTACATAAGAGAGTTTAGAATAAAAAACTGGCATATAGTAAGCTTAATGTAAGGATTAGCTATCATTATTCTGTTACACATGGCAAAAAGTATTAGTTTTCTACTAATTTACTTAAAAGTTCCATTTAATGGAGCTTGCAGGTGGTGTGGTAGTTGGGGTGCTGGACTCCCGGAGGGCTGCCCACAGTTTAAGTCCTAGACCTGGCGGCTTGCTTTCTCACTTTTCCTCCCTTTCTCTCTCTTGTCTGTCTTTGGTCAAATTAAAAAATCATAATGAATTTAAAAATTAAACAAATAATTTTTAAAAAAAGAAGTTTCATTTACCACTTAAAATCACTTTAAGTTACAAAGTGAGTTGATTTTAAAAATATATAATCAATACTGGTATGTAAGCTTCAAGAATATAGTTAAACTATGGGAACCAGCAGTTAGCATAATGGCTATGTCGCTGGACTCCCACGTAGTCGACCGCGGTTCGCGTCCTGGACCCGGTGGCTTAAAACTCACGCCGGGCGCGTGTGCGTGCGTGCCCAAGATCCCAAGAGGAGAATGGAGGAGAAGGGATTG